TCCTTTTTTTTGGAACCCATACTTTCTTTAAAACTATGTTTGAACCGGAAAAGTATGAGTTCCTTTATTCTTTTTTGGAGCTCATACTGTTTTTTGGCGCTCATCCTTTTTTTGGCACAATGCCTGACCCGAAAAAGTATGAGTTCCTTTTTTTGGAACTATTTTTTTTTGAGAACTCGTTTTTTTGGCACAATGTTTGGCCCGAAAAAGTACGAGTTTTTTTCTGAACTTTTTTTTTTGCGGCGTTCATACTTTTTTGGCACGCTGTTGGCCCGAAAAAGTATGAGTTCCTTTTTTTTCCGAACTCACTTTTTTTTGAGCCCATACTTTTTTGGCGCTATGTTTTTGAGTTCCTTTTTTTTTGGAGCCCATACTTTTTTTGAGGCGGTGTTTGGCCTGAAAAAGTATGAGTTGCCCTTTTCCGGAACTGTTCGGGTTTTTTGGAGCTGCGATGTCTTTGATGAACAAAATGTTTGGATTTCTTAGAGATCCCTTTTTCCCAGGGCTCACTCTAAATACCTTTGTTTTTGCGGATAAATACCTTTGTTGTTGACTTGTGGCTTGCTTTCTTTTTGGGGCTTTAAATTTCCGTGGGCCTGCGTTGTTTCTCTTTTTCATTTTTTTGATTTTTGTTGAGTTCTTCTTTTTCCACAACTCTTTTTCTGGAACAGATTTTTCTCAAGGATAAATATTATAGATTCTTGGTTATGGTTTTGCGTTTCTGAGGAAACCTCAGATGTTTTACATCCAAAACCTGTGTTTTTCTTCGGTACTTTCTAGACGTGACTTTTTGGAACGACCGGATCTTGTTTAATGAAACCATAATAGTTGCTCAATATTAGGCGCGTTGTACTTCTTAGGGCCCCGCGCATAAGAACAGAATTCAGCATTTTTGAACCGCATATTTTTTGCTTTTTTTGTTTTGGATCCTTTGTTTTTTCTGCGGCTTTGACATTGAGATTTGTTCGGATTTCGCTTTGGTTATTTCTTCTTTGAAGTCCTTTTTTTCCTAGGGAGAGCTTAAAGATGTTCGATGCGCTGTAGAGCGACACCAGATACATAAAATATGAACAACACCTCAGTTCAGCTGGTGTACATGCAGATCCGTGGTTTCCTTTTGTACTTGTACGGTTCTTGCGCCCGGTGCAAACAGTTTCGATGGGGCAAAACTTTACCAAACCATGGATCTCCTGTTTCCTTACAAGCATCACCACCAACACCACCACCCGAAAATAAATACCCTAGGCCCTTGCCCCTGTGACAGTCTGAATTGTACTTGTTTTCAGAGCAGGACGCTGTGGCCGTGCACTTTTTTTATTGTATTTTTTTCAAAGCTGTAATCACATTAAAGCTTAAGCTCAGATGAAGCTGTGTTCATGTCCACTAGGTGTCCAGTCTACCTTAGATAAATGCTACTGGAGTGTCCCTTCAACAAAACATAATTTCGGCAGAATATGCTAGATGACTTCAAAATAATTACAACATCCCCATACCTGCCAGCAAATGCAGCATTCAAAACAAACATACCCTTCTGAATAAGAGTAATCTTCCTTTGGGGCAATGCCGTGTGTTTTTGCAGGGGCAATATCCGAACAAAATAGGACGTATTCCTTGAAAACTTGCACCATGCCCTTTGAAGGAGTGCAGTGTGCATTTCCAGATGTCTAACCCTCCTTTCAAAGGAGCAGTACCCCTTTTGGAAAAGTCAATATTTCTGCATAGTATATGCAGTATTATTAACATAGAGCATCCCTGTCAAAAGTGCAACATGTTTGAAACTGTGAGGGCGATTAAAGAATGCTCTTTCGCTTCTTACCATTGAACAACAGAATATTGCCCAATGGCAAAAAATCTTACTGTGAAGAAACAGCATTCTTGGAAAACTGGATTACTTTTGTTTGGCATGTGTACTCTTCCCCTTGGTCAGATCAGTCCCGCTTTCATTTAGACAACTCTCACTTAAAGAAATGTTTTCAATACAATCCAGCAATAATGTTTTCGTTTCATCAAATATATCACTCATATCAAGGGGGTGCTGCATAAATTCAACAACAAATTCTTCAAGGACAACCATACTCTTTCAAAAGAGGGCTGCATGCACACAATATACCATATGTTCAAACATTGTTTGATTGTCTTAAGATTTAAACATGCACATTCTTCAAATTACAATATTTTTCAAGAGGAGAGCTGCCTACACCAAAGGGTGTTATTCCAAAATTTGGTTCGTTGTTTTGGATATCACTTTACGCATTCAGAAAAATGATGTGCAATTGTGAAGGACATATTTTACGTGCTTACATGTGCCATTTGTTCTTCATTTAAGAAAATATATTGTGAAAAGGGCATTGCATGTGCAAGAGGGTTTATTTTTGACATAGAAGTAGACGAAGACATGACCTACTCCAATGGGATGCTTTACCATTTTAAGAGACATGCACTTGTTGAAGGGAGCACTCACTTCAAAGGGCTGCATCACTCCTTTTCAAGGGAATCCTTCAAAGTGTTGGAATATGTGTTAACTCAAGGGTTTGAGCCAACAATGTCAATATCAAAATCAATTCTACATATTCATTGGCTGCCTATGTTTTTGCACTTGTTCAACACAGTTTTTGAAATTTTTATATAAACAGACAAAATTGCCTAATCTGTGTTCCAAGCCCCCCAAGCTTCCTCCAGTCATACCTGCATTTTGCCATCTTTTGTAGGTGGTTTTCCAATAGAACCACAGGCCCAAAGCAACCAATAAGATCAACCAAAAGCAAGTTTGCAACCCCTATAGTGGGAGAACTGGCAAAGAGTGAGGTCAAGGTCCTTCACTTTTGTGTTGTTTTGCCAGCCCTCCAAAAAACCAGCAACGAACCAGAAAACCAAAAAACTAAAAAACCAAGAAACCAAAAAAACAAAAAAACAAAACAATATTGCACACTCCAAGGGGGAGAGTAGTGGCAGAGAGCTGGGTCTTGTCATTTTTTTTTCTGGTTTCTTGTTTTTTTGGATTTTGGTTTCGTTTAGCCATTGCAGGAAAACCAACGACGAACCAGGAAACAAGAAACCAAGAAACCAACAAATTAAAAAAACAAGAAACAAAAAACAAAAAGCAAAAAAAACAACATTGCACACCCCAAGGGGGGAGTAGTGGCAGAGAGTTGGGTCTTGTCATCTTTTTTGTTCTTGGTTTTTTGTTTTTTGTGTGTTTCTGCAAGAAACACAGAACAATTGAGGAACCACTGTAATGGGTGGATGGGTGGGCACCGACCGCAGGCATGGCTCCAATGTGCCAAGGTCATGGCAGGATTTTCTTCTGCTAGGTTTACTCGTGTCTTTTTGTAGGGCGCGAGTTGCCATGGCCTTGTTTGGTAGGTGGGATGCCTTGACACAGTTCCTGGACATTGGAGCCATAAAGGACCACTTTTCGGTGCCAACAGAAGCCTGGGAAGCTTTCACTAACACCGTCGGTGACTTCGGAGAAGACATAAGACTCCTGGCGGCGTTCCCTGGATCTGGCTTGCTGGCCGGGATCACTCAGGCGACAAGATCCGATGGGTCTGGACTATTACCAGTTCAGGCAACTCAAATTGGGCTGGTGTGGCGCCTTGCAAGACGAATCAGCGCATGTCAAAGTGGCATGACGGAGGCAGAGTTCCAGGACGTTGATCCATGGGCTGAGGAGCCAACCGTGGAACCCGCGAGACAAAGCTCCTCAACCGGTGGCATTAAGGAGAAGATCTTGAAGATGTCGGCTTTGATCGACCAGTCAGACGACTCAGAGCTGATGCCGCCTACGTCAATGGAAGTCAACACATGGCTTCAAAACTACCACTCGGTGATGGGCGCTATGCCTGAAGAAGCTGAAGAACCTAGCCCCAATCAACTGGCGGCCCTTGCAAAGAGGGTGTTTCGAGATGACGCTCCCCCTTATGTGGACTTCGGTGTGTTCGGCCCCTTTGAGAGAAAGCTCACAAAAGTGCAGCGTTGCCGGATATTTACACCGTTAGGTGATGGAACATATCTCCAACGAGATCTTCCAGGCCCACCAACATATCAGGGATGGCTCGCATCGTGGAGGGTGCTGAAAACGGCATGCTTGATGCTAAATGTAGCATCACTGGCATCCTTGGAAGTCTATGGGAGGCACGTGGAAAAGCTGGTAACCCAATGGCCTTCTGCTTGGGGGCTGATTTATCAAGCGGAAGATGCAGCACGTGCAGAAAGAATGGCTAAACTTAGGCGGCAGTTCACAGTTGAAGCAGGTTTGGGTCGTCAAGTTCCACGAGATTGGAATCCGAAAGAACCTTGGAGTTGCATCTTTGTCCAGCTCACCAAAGACGACTCCTACTGGTCGGAGAAGGTGCACATACCTGCAGCAGCTTGGGTGGCAGCAGGGGCGAGGGGTCAGCCGGTGGTAGCATCTGAGGCTGCCGTAAAAGCCCACGTCCCAGGACTGCAAGACTCCATCCGTGACACAACTCCTCCAGGGCATGATGGCTCGGATCCCAGAAGAAAGCAGGCAAATAGAGACAAAAGAGCTGCACGAAAGAGAAAGCATCAGGCGGACATGGATGAACTCCGAAACCTTCGTCAAGGACATGGTGGACACAGACAACAGCATACGAGCGGAGGTAAAGACTCTGGAGGAAAGGGCAAAGGCAAAAGCAAGGACCAATCTGGAACCCCAATTTGTTTTTCGTGGGCATCGGGCACTGGCGTTTGTGGAAAACTCCCTGCAGGTGCTGAGTGCGCAAGTCCGGTAAAACGGGCCCACAAGTGTCGGAAGTGCCTTTCTCCGTCACATCAAGATTCTGCGTGCACCAGGTGAATCAGGACTAAAATGGGCACCTTGTGGGGGTCTTGTTGTCGATTGCGTTTTGAAATTTTTGGTTCTGCTTTTGATTGCTTTGTCTTTTGCCTTGATTTGAAGTTTTGGTACATAGCTTCATGTGATCTGCATTAACTTGGTTTTTTGGAAGAGTTGTCAAGCTTGTCAACGTTGCAGCATCATGGATGAAGACACGAAGGGTAGTGGTAGCCCACCCTCGGTGGATTACGGCGATGGCGAAGAAGATGAGCCATTGGCCGCCGAGGGTCCCAGTAGTGCCGCGGCGAGCCATGAGGTTCCTGCGGACGCAGAGACAGAGGTCCCGGAGACAGCCATGAGGCCCAGAAGAGTGGAATCAGCGTTGAAGGACGCAAAGACGTTTGAGGATTACAGGAAGAAGAGACCCTTCAAGTTCCTTCACATGTATTCTGGTCCCAACGATCCCCTTGGGCAAGCCATCAAGCTGGAAGCGGCAAAAAATCGGCTCAACGTGGTTGTACTTAGCTTGGACAACCAGCTGGACCCTGACTTGGACCTAGCAGACCCGGGAGGCTTCCAGATCATGAAGGAGGACGTGAGCAAGGGAGAGTGGGACTACACTCACGCCGGCTTCCCGTGTGGGTCCTTTTCGATGGCCAGGCACAACGTCACACCTGGCCAGCCGGGTCCGGTCCGGGATAAGCTGAACATTTATGGACTGCCCGGCAACAGCCCACAACAGCAGGCAGAGGCTGACAAGGGAACCCGTATGGCAACTCAGGCATCGGAGATTTACGAGGCCCAGGTGAACAGCTGCATCAAACGCAAAGTTCCCCCACTGGCAACACTGGAGAATCCACCAGGAAGTGAGGAATCGGGGAGCGCCTGGGACGTACCCGAGGTATCGGCTTGCCTACAAAGAACCAAGGCAATTAGAGCCAACTACAACACGTGTGCCTACCAGCTCAAGTCCAAGGAGAGGCACTTCAAACCGGGTGTGTGGACGGGAAGGTTGCAGAACTTGGAGAAGGTATCCAAGGTTTGCAGATGCCCTGCATGGATCAAACACACGGCACTGGTTGGGAAGAGAAAGACAGCTCCGGCGGCAGAATACCCGGCGGCGCTAGCCGAGACCATAGCTGCTGAAGTGGTGATGGTGTGGAAGAAGACGCTGAACCTTGAGTGGTGGAGATACCAATTCGAGACAAAGTCCAAGGTCGTCAATGATCTACAACGGGCATGGCTTGAGAACGAAGAGAAGAAAACCGGAGGAGGGACGACCAGGTCTGAGCCTTCGAAGAGGGCTGCATCGATGGCCTTCAAGATCGACAACATCGAAAGCGATGATTTGGCCGAGAGCTCGAAAGCGAGGCCAACCAAGGTCTTGAAAGAGGAACACAACAGATTGTGCATTGGTGGGATGAGAAACCCAGCCAAGACGGTGAAGAGGTTGACACAGCTTCGAGCAACGGGCCAGAAGATATCGAAGATGTGGGACGAGTTCATCGAGTCCCACCCGAGAGCTTTGCAGGTGGCAACACACTATGGGAAACCTGACAACATCTTCGACGAAGAGCTCCTCGAGTTATGGCGACTTGCACTACGAGAAAATCTGGCAAAGGTTGAAGAGCACCCCATGGTCGTCAGAGAAAATTGGGAGTTCAAGTCCCCGCTGGTGTCGGAGCTTTGGGAATCGTGGGGTGAGGAAGCAGTAGACCCGGATGTCCACTTGCCAGAGTTCATGCGGAGAGGTGCACCACTGGGAATGGAGGTACAGATCCCCCCGAGCGGTGTATTCCCAGCGGCTGTGGGGGCAGAGGAGACGAACACCGACCAGGCGGGAGAGTTCGAAGAGTTGAGATTCCTCCGCAACTACGAGTCAGTTCGATCTCAACCAGAAGAAGCAACTTTGGAAATCAACAGGTACGTGGAAAAGAACTTTGCCAAGCGCGTGACCTGGCAGTGGATCAAGGACGTGCTGGGAGAGACAGGCACTGTGTCGAAGATGGCGCTGATCCTCAAACAAAAGGACGATGGGAGCATCAAAAGAAGGATCATCCTAGACATGAGGAGAAGTTTTGGTAACTCAAGAGCCAAAACAGATGAGCGCATAGTGCTGCCGCGACTCACAGATGTGGTCCATATGTTGCAGGACATGTGGAAACCCCGAGGCGGAGACAAAGGTCGCAGAGAGTCCAAGGAAGAGGATGACTTCGAAATATACCTCATAGACCTCGAAGACGCCTTCTGCCATTTCCCGGTTCGGAAAGAAGAGCTGAGGCACTGCGTGACCCCGGACGAGCACGACCAGGACGCCTTAGTTTGGACGGCGATGCTGTTCGGATACAAGGCAGCTCCATTGATCATGGGGAGGTTGTCGTCGGCGTTGGGAAGACTTTTGCAAAGCATCATGGACCCGAACTTCACACAGCTCCAAGTCTATGTGGACGACGTGCTGATGGCATCCCTTGGACCCCGACCACAAAGAGAGTCAAAGCTCGCGGCGGCGCTGTATACGGCAGCGGCCTTTGGGGTCCGCGTGAACCTGAGGAAAGGTGAACGAGGAAGAAGGGTGACGTGGATTGGATGCTCCATAGAGGTCCCGGTGGTACAGGTCGGAGAGCCCGAAGTGGTGGTCTTGGGAATATCCAAGAACATGATCGATCAGGTGCTGACCACGCTTCACACCTGGAAGGGAGGAGGAATGGGCTCAATCAAAGAGCTGAGATCCACCACGGGAAGGTTGTCATGGGTCGGAGGAATCCTGCCACGGTTAAGATGGACCGTGAACGTCCTCTACGCTACTCTGAAAGAAGTTGAGAGAGAACAACAAGACGGAACAGAGGAGCGACGGGCAGCGGGCCGAGAGGACACGAGGTCAAAAGTGGGATTGTTCCCGATCAAACGTCTCGGAGGAGTACACCTGTGGTTGCTGAAGCTCTTCGAGAACCCGGTGGAGAATCTCATCCGCATCGAGAGGATGAAGAAACCAAAAGTTCCATGGGGCGTCATCACAGATGCCTCACCAAAGGGCTGGGGGGCCATTTTGGTCAAAGTGGTGGACGATCACCCAAAACAGCTGGTGCCGGTCGAAGCAGTTGAAGGCCTCATCACCGAGAACGAGGCAAAGCTCCTGAAAGTGGACTATGGTGAGTCATCGTCTCAAGCGGTGATGGAAGCTTTGGCCATAGTCAGAGCAGTTGACAAGTGGGGCCAAAAGTTCCGTGAAAGAGCGATTCTTATCAGGTCTGATTCATCGGTAGCTTTGGCCATGACAAAGCGACTGGCCAGCCCGCACCCAACGCTGAACTTCCTGGCGGCCGAATTGGTGCTGAGACTGGAGAAGTACCAGGTGCAGAGAGTGACTTTACATCACTTGCGGGGCACCTGGAATGAGGAAGCAGATTGGCTGTCGAGACTGGCCGAACGGGGGGGAAAGCCCAGACCAACAGGGCTTGAAGGGGTGCACTTGAAGAGAGCAGCGCCCTGGAAGAGCTCTCACTTTTGGCTTCCACCTCCTGGCGACACCACTGAGGAGAAGCAAATGTTTACTCCTCAGGACACCATTTTCGAACACATGGCCGTGCGCTGAGAAAAAGGGGGAAACTTGGACGAAAGGGGTCACAGGACACTCAGTTAAATTTGAGTGAGCATGCCTGTGGTGAGTACGTTGGTACTTTTTCCCCGTTTTGTCTGGTGTTTTTCTTGGTTGGGTTAACTCCTAACCCCCCCCTTTGTCTCTGCTGCGCATGCCGGCTAATAGGTGGTGTTCGATTTGGTGCAGTTTTTGAAGCAAGATTCATAGTAGCCATGGAGGTTCAAGCGTCAGAAAGACTTGCATCGGCGGCCCCGGGTCCTCGGACAACATTGTCCAATGGATCCTCCAGATATGGCTGCTGACAGTGCTGTGCGCATTCGCAGCCGGGGCAATGTGCTGGCGTCAATGGTGCTCGCGGCGGCGCCAAAGAGAAGCATGGATGGGCGAGCTTGGGACTTGGAAGGAAGAGGCCGGTCCAATCAAGGACAACTCAATTTCCCAACAAGGAGCCCTGTTCCACAGCCCCCCGAGCTCGAGAATCCGAAAGAACCGCAGCCCCGTGAGTTCCAGAAGCAGAAGGACAGCAAAAGGGGCGAACAATCAGCAGAGCTCGAAGGACTCCTCAAGCGTGTCTACGAGCAAGAGTTCCAGGCGAAGAAAAGCTTGCAACAAGCAACCCCCGGTGCCAGAAGAGTCAATGACAATGGAAGGCATCAGAGGAAGACCGAGCGCGGTAGAAAAGGGAAGAACAGTTTTAAACATCATGGAGAACAGGGCAAATCGAATGATGCAAAGCCCAGGACAGCCAAGAGAAAGTTGAAGGACATGTCGAACTTGGCAAAGTCCCCGGCGTGGATTGCGGCGGCAAGAGCAAAGCTGAAGAACAGGCTGTTTTCAGCATCAACGTTGGCATCAAAGGAGTCCAAGAGGAGGAGAATCCAAGAAATCATGGATAACTGCAACATCCGACTTGGAGAGAATGGCATTACAACCGATGAGATCCTGACGATTGCTGCAGTGTTGGGTGAGACATCGATAAAGAGTGCGGACCAGTATTTAGCAGAAGTAAAACTCATGCAGCTGGAAGCTGGAGTATCTTGGACAGACGTGTTGGACAGGCAACTGACCATGGTCAAGAGAGCTCTGAAGCGTGATACAGGTCCCGAAGAGCGTGCCAAGGAGTTCAACCCGGAGCTCATGCCGGACAAGACATGGGAAACAAGACTGCAGACAAAGGGGCTCCCAATCAGAACAGCTTGGGCCTATGGATGGGCAGTCATTTGGATGCTCAGGTGCATCGAAGTGGTGAACCTCCAGGCGGCAGATGTGGCATTGGACTTCACCAACAAGTTAGTCACAGTGAACATCAGGAAGTCAAAGATGGATCAATCTGCCCACGGCGTAAAGAGAACTTTGAAGTGCTGCGGGAACTCGTCTTGTCTGAGGTTGTGCCCTTGGAGCTTAGCGATTCGTGTACTGTCTGATCACGCCAGTCCATCCGAGACAACGCCCCTCTTCCCCGACAAGGACGGTACACGAATACAGAAGGTGAAGATGGTAAAGTCATGGATGGACAACATCAATGAAGAGCTGACGGGCCATTCAGCCAGAAGAAGTGGAGCCATGTGGTACGCTAGGAAAGGCCTACCCGTCCACGAGATAGGGCTGCTTGGCAGGTGGAAATCGTCAGCGGTGTTTAGATACATAGAAGAGGCGTTGCAAGAGATTCCACTCAACGCAAACGTGGTAACAAGCTCCACGACTGCACAAGGTGGCCAACTGGTTTGCCCTGGCACCCCTGTACCAGGAACACCGGTGGTTCGTGCGGCAAAGGTCCAGGAGGCTCTCGAAGAAAAGGAGGTACAACTATTGGACAAGAAGCTGAAAAGATCGGCACCACCAGAACAATGTTGGGCTGTGTCCACGGGGCGCAGAGGTAGAACATCACACCGTGTCAGGCGTGCCTCGTGGAATCTTAGCCTTGCAAGTTGGGACACGTGGTGCGGATGGCATTTCGCAGAAAGAAATGTCAAAGTCACATTGGCGCCAAAGCTCCTGGACTCGACATCGAAATGCAAAAAGTGTGAGATGGCCTACCAGTCCCGCGACGGTGTCAAAGATGAGGTAAGCCTGGCGCAACTGGTCAATTTTGAATGATCCAACAATGGATCAAAGCTGACATGACACAGGTCATGCAATAGACAGGCTGCAGGTATGCAGCTACCACCTCCGAGCAAAAACAATGCGTGACATTGTACCTGGAGGGTGGGTGGGCATGCTGTGTTGTGACGATGCTGTTTGTGTGTTTCTGCAAGAAACACAGAACAATTGAGGAACCACTGTAATGGGTGGATGGGTGGGCACCGACCGCAGGCATGGCTCCAATGTGCCAAGGTCATGGCAGGATTTTCTTCTGCCCACACCCACCCACCCTGGCAGAAGAAGTTAGCTGGGGTGTGGTGAGGTAAGCCTGGCGCAACTGGTCAATTTTGAATGATCCAACAATGGATCAAAGCTGACATGACACAGGTCATGCAATAGACAGGCTGCAGGTATGCAGCTACCACCTCCGAGCAAAAACAATGCGTGACATTGTACCTGGAGGGTGGGTGGGCATGCTGTGTTGTGACGATGTTGTTTGGATTTTGGGTTCGTTTAGCCATTGCAGAGAAACCAAGCAGAAATTGTCAATGGTTGCAAAGCAGTGAGAGAACCATCACAGATGCAGTGGTTGCAAAGATGTGCAGTTTCAGTGGTTGCAGAATGCAGTGAAAAACCGCATTCCCAGGGTGTCCCCTTCTGCTTGTTTTTCAGTTGCTTTTCCTGTCATGTTTTAGTCGCATCTATATACATTGCCGAAATCTTGGATTGCCACATGTGATTGGTGTGAATAGAGCCGTAATCTATATGAGCCTGGTTGGGTCAACTATTATATAGAGACTTGTCCAGCGAAATTTGTTATTTGGATACAGTCACTTCACTATGGAACCGCTTGATGCAGTTTGAAACTGTGATGCACATCTCAGAGACAATCCGCCCTTTACAAGCACCTCAAAAAGTATGGGCGCCTTTTCAGATTGAGCTTTCACCAAAAAGGCAGGGCTTTTGAAATTTAGCATCTGCAAGATCTTCATGCAAGGACCTATTAGAGAGGACCCCGCCAGGATTTCCACAAGATCTTCTGTTAAGGACATGCGGAGCATCTTCAAGATCTTGACGCGAGGCCCCGTAGGAAGGATTTGAACCGGATCTCCACAAGATCTTCTCAGAAGGACCTGTACAAGAGAGAATTTCACGCGAATCTCCGCAAAATCTTCGCATCAGTTTATGACTTGTTGTTAGGCGCAAGGAGTACCCCAGCAATATATTCAAAAATGCATAACATTTGCAGATTGGGAATGCATATAGTTTGGGGCCCCAAAGCGGATAAGGAAATTTTGCATAGGGCCATGCATATGATTCAAGCCAACCCAAAGAACATGCACAGGGTCATGCACATGCGCTTTGGGCCTCAGGAAAAATGCATGCGGCCTTCTCTGATTTTTTGCAAGTTTCCTTCGCCAACATATGAAAAAAACCATGTGGCAAGAGGAGCTGTGATTGGGGGCATTTATGTTGATGCATGTTGTGAAGGTACCCTCCACTGAATGCATGTTACTCTAAATGTTTCGGGAAAAATGATAGCCTTTCAAGAGTCAAGAATGTCTGTATATCATTTATATAGATTTGTTCAGTTTTGCTACTTGTTAGTTGTGCGTCGGCACCAGATCAAAAAATGGAAATCATGTTTCAGTCACATCATTTCAATGCATGCTTTGTGATGTTTGTGTGATGTTCTTTGGCAGTTCTTGGACTCAGAAATCATGGCGCCCGTGCTGAAAATTAGGAATAAATAGGTCAAAAGATAACCCCCGGACGGCTTTTGGGGAGATCGTGCAGATCAGGAAAGTTGGCGTGCCAGAATCCATTATGCATTTTCGAATGGCCGTAAAAATAGCACGCAAAAAATATGCATTTTCAATCTGCATTTTTGGGCAGCACGCATTTTTCAATATGCATATTTGCACCTTTTTTGTAAAATACATGCCCCGATTTCGGCAAATCAACGAAGTATGCATTTTCTGCAGCCAGCCGAAAAGCAAAAACACATGCATTTTCCCACGGAAAAATGCATATTTTGGGAAAATCTTGGAACCATCAAAAATGCATAATTCCATGAAAACTTTGGTTTGGCCAAAATCAACAAAATATGAAATATGCATTTTGTGCAGCCAGCCGAAAAGCAAAAACACATGCATTTTCCCACGGAAAAATGCATGTTTTTTTGCTTTTCGGCTGGCCGCAGAAAATGCATACTTCGTTGATTTGTCGAAATCGGGGCATGTATTTTACAAAAAAGGTGAAAATACGCATTGCCTCATGGGAAAATGCATATTTTTGGAAAATTTTGGAGCCATCAAAAATGCATATTGAAAAATGCGTGCTGCCCAAAAATGCAGATTGAAAATGCATATTTTTTGCGTGCTATTTTTACGGCCATTCGAAAATGCATAATGGATTCTGGCACGCCAACTTTCCTGATCTGCACGCTCTCCCCAAAATTCCTGTGGTGATTTTTCTATACTTGTTTTTCTCTGTGCCATTTGAACGTCACTCAACCAGTTTGGCAAGAGATTCTAGTACGCACTTTGGAGTCTCAACTTGAGCCAGGTGTTCCATATTCTGGAAAATTAAAAGAAAATGGATCTCCATGGTCTCAGTTGTATCCAGACTTAGGGGGTTTTGACTTGGCTCCTGCGACCAACTGTGGGCAGAGACAACTCGGTATGGCAGGGGTGCAGGATGCGATTGCAAGTTTCGGGGGCATCTTCACCCGTCGTTGAACACGTATAGTATATACCATGCCATGCTTGAAAGCAAGCAGTCTGAATGTATTTTTTAGCACAAAACGCTTCAGATCAATTTTGTGACTTGCATTTCCGGGATATTATGGCTGCGCAGTTGGCGGGTGTTTACGGTGGCCCAAAGGCATCTAGAGTAAGCAAAAATTGAACCCCTTGTGGAAAGTTTTGAAATATGCATTTCTGACATCTGCAGCCTGTAAGCATGCGTCTTTATTATGCATTATTTTTGTCTAAAGATTTTGCATGTGGCATTCATGGGCTTTTGCCTGGACAACAACTCATAAGCATAAGTAGGTGTGCAAGATCATGCAACAGCCTCTTGGAAAGGATTCCACCAGGATCTCCACAGGACCTGGACAAGATCATGCAAGGACCCCTGACGCAAGGATTTAGAGGGAAAATGCCGTGCCCAGATGGACCCCGAGACCCCGACCCGCACTTTGTGCGAGCCTGCGCAGCCGAAATGCACATAGACATGTCACAGGAGCTATCTCACGCGAGAATTTACAGGGAAAATGCCGCGCCCCAGATGTTGAGACCGCACGCACTTTGCGCGAGCCTGCCTGTGCAGTCGAAATGCACACGCGGGCCATCTTATACGAGAATTCTGGGGCAAAATGCCGTGCCCAGATGGACCCCGAGACCGCGGCCCACACTTTGCACGAGCCTGCGCAGTCGAAATGCACATGGACATGTCACAGGAGCTATCTCACGCGAGAATTTACAGGGAAAACGCCGCGCCCCAGATGTTGAGACCGCACGCGCTTTGCGCGAGCCTGCCTGTGCAGTCGAAATGCACACGCGGGCCATCTTATACGAGAATTCTGGGGCAAAATGCCGCGCCCCAGATGGATCCCGAGACCGCGGCCCGCACTTTGCACGAGCCTGCGCAGTCGAAATGCACATAGACATACCGTAGATGGACGAATGATTCAAACCCTTATACATAGAGCAACCCCCCTCACCCCAAATATCAATGTTATTTTCTTGTTTGGTGCGTTCCTTCGAATGGACGAAATAAATCAAACCCCCAGAGCAGGAACAGCGCTACGAAACCATAACATTGAAATTCGGGGGAGGTAGGGGGTGGCCTATAACTCATGGATAGGGGTTTGAATAATTTGTCCATCTACTGTCTTAAGCGTTGATTTTTCCTCATCTTTTTGCATTTTTCCCATACGATCCCAAGAACTCAGTCAGACATTGCTTTAACAAGCGTCATCACATGTCACCACTTGTCTGAAAAAGCACGCCCAGTGACGACACCATAAAGGTGGATGATAAGGCCCACCTGCTTGTTCTTGTTCTTGTTCTTGTCGTTGTCGTTGTCGGTGTCGTTGTTGTTGTTGTTGTTCTTCTTCTTCTTCTTCTTGTTGTTGTTGGAAGTTGTTGTTGTTGTTGTTGTTGTTGTTGTTGTTGTTGTTGTTGTTGTTGTTGTTGTTGTTGTTGTTGTTGTTGTTGTTGTTGTTTTGTTTCTGTTGTTGTTGTTGTTGTTGTTGTTGTTGTAAGTTG